GCCCCCTGCTGATGGCCCACGAGCGGGACCTGGCCCAGCTCTGGCTGATGAGGCCAACTGGGGGCTGATGGAAGATTTCTCTCGTCGCTTTACTGCCTAAACAGCTGCAACAGCCGGAGCAGGGTTGGTGCGAAGCCAGGAGCTTCCTCCGGGCCCCCACACGGACTCAGGGGCCTAAGGACCTGGGTTATCCCTCTCCACCTGTGCACAACTGGGCTGGAAGTGGAACAGCCAGGACTTGAACTGGTGCCCAAACAGGCTGCCGGTGCCCAGGCAGCTTACCCAGCTAGTGGCGCCGGCCCTAGGAAACTTCTCTTTGAATTTTTTCCACACCCTCTGGAACACATGGTTCCTTGTCACGGATGTAAGTAGCACGTGGGAGGGAGGAACTGTTCTCTGTTTTTGTCTGAAGGTGAAAGAAGCAGGTGGCGCCCACCTCCGATGGGCGAGAAGCTGGCAGAGAGAGGGGAGCAGGTGGACGGGGGTACATGACAGGGGGGCAGGTGGACGGGGGTACATGACGGGGGGGCAGGTGGACGGGGGGAGATGACAGGGGGGCAGGTGGACGGGGGAGATGACAGGGGGGCAGGTGGACGGGGGAGATGACAGGGGGGCAGGTGGACGGGGGAGATGACAGGGGGGCAGGTGGACGGGGAAGATGACAGGGGGGCAGGTGGACAGGGGGAGATGACAGGGGGGCAGGTGGACAGGGGAGATGACGGGGGGCAGGTGGATGGGGGAGATGACAGGGGGCAGGTGGATGGGGAGATGACAGGGGGGCAGGTGGCGTTCACCTCTGATGGGCGAGAAGCTGGCAGAGCAGCAGTTAAGGGGCCAGAGGAGGTATACCTTTCCTGACCTGATGCTGACCAAGGAGCACTGGGGTGTCCTTGGTGGAACACGGGGAAAGAAGGAAGCATGCTGACTCAATGCTCAGTGCCACGGGCTCAAGGACACCCAACTCCCAAGGCATGCTGTGTTCCATGTGGACAGGGGTGCAGGCGTCACCCTACACAGGCACACAGGGCATTCACACGTGGGACCCGCCTTGCTCTGGAGGCCGGCTCCCTCGGTCTCCAAGCTCTGACCCTTGCCTGTGACTGGAGACCTGAGCTGTCACCCTCCCACACACCCAGGGTAAATCTGACTGGGGCCCAGGGGCGGGGTGGGGCGGGCATCACCAGCCATTCCTTCCTGGGAGCTGGAGTCCCCGCCTTCATGGGGGGGGTGTGTTCACCCTCCCACCCTGCTCGGGGCAGTCACCGGGTCAGCAGTGGCTTTCCCTGTTTTCCTAGCTAAGCAGGGCTGTCCATCTCTCACAGGCATCTTCTGGGCCTGCCCAATGAACAGGTTAATCCCTATGCGAAGGTGGCACCACGGGATCCAGATGGCAGAGGTCTGAGCCAGGGATGAGGGCCCCATCCGGGAGGAACCACAGACACGCCATTTCCTATGCAATGTCTCCTCATGGCATCTTGCCGTGCACACGGCCCATCAGGGGGTAGTGCGATGCTGTGGTGAGGTGCGGGGTCAGGGAAGGACCTCCCACCTGTCCTTGCAGTGGTCCAGCCCCAGGGCTCTCTCCCGTCTCCCACCACATCAGTGGAAGACACATTCACAGCTCCACCGAAGCCTCATGCCCACCCCCTCCTTGGACTCCCTGCAGCCCCTGCCTCCCAGGCCCCTTGCCCTTCCCCGCTTCCCCCATGCCCCCTGCTCTTCCAGGACCCCCACTCCCCTCAGGCCCCATGACCCCCTACTCTCCTGAGGCCCCATGCCCCTCATCCCCCTGGCTACTGTCAGGCCCCATGTCCCCCCACTCCGCTCTCCCTGCCCCCAGGTACTCCCTGCTCCCTTGAAGTCCCCATGCCCCCCTGCTCCCACAGGCCCCCACCCCCTCCCACTCGCCTCAGAGTAGAGGGGCAGGGCACTGGGACCCCAGCCAGGACCCCCGCTTTCCCTTGGGTGTGCCGCTCTCTCACACCCTGACCACAAGCTCTGGCACAGAACTGTTCACACTCAGGGGAGCAAGTTGCAACTTCAGTGCAAGTTCTAGAAGGGCAGGGTTTGGAGGTGGGGTCCATCAGGGCTGCTGGAGTGGATCCCCGCACTAGGAGGTGACGGATGCAGGGCGCTCCGAGGCAGTGTCTGTAAGGAACGCTTTCTGGAACACGGCTGGCCCCATCGCTGCCCTATGGGCTGTTCTGCTATCGCTGCCAGGGTTGGGCGGTGCCACTGGGGATCTGCCGCCCCCCTGGCTGCTACAGGAAGCCAACCGCGGCCTGGGGGTGAGCCCACAGGAAGGCGCGGGTGGGCGCTGACCGGCGCCAGGCCCAGACGCGCCCGCAGGAGCCCGAATCGGGCAGCTGTGTCACCAGATACGGAAAATAAACAAGAAAAGCAAAGCAAAAGTGGGCATGCATGGCACAGCCTCAATCCGACAAAACCTGTTTTAAAACCAGCAGCAAGACAGAGTCGGTCCGAGAGCTGCCGTTGTCTGGGTGCTTTGCTGTTGGCACCCTCTGTGCGTGCAGTGGTCTCCATTCCTCGGATTTGTTACCTGGCTTTTTATTCTTCAGGAATTCCTTCTCTGTTCCCGACGCCTGACTTACCTACTGCCTTCTGAAGTCTGAACTGAAGGGTCCTCAGGCTGGTCACACGGTGAGCCACAGGCAACCCACTGAAGCCCGGCCTCTGTGCCCTCGTGGGGTCGGCTGGGAGGTCCAGGCTAAGGATGCGAGTCGGGCAAGCTGTCACCCGCATCCCGCCGCGACCTCCAGGCTTTGGGAAGCACCTCCAGGGCCCGGCACGATGGCTCAGTGGCCAAACCCTGGACTGCGCCAGGGATCCGGGCAGCCCCACTTCCATGCAGCTCCCTGCGTGTGGCCTGGGAAAGCAGTGGAGGATGGCCCAAAGCCTTGGGACCCTGCACCTGTGTGGGAGACCTGGAAGAGGCCCCTGGCTCCTGGCTTCGGATCGGCTCAGCTCTGGCCGTTGCGGCCGCTTGGGGAGTGAATCAAAGGATGGAAGATCTTTCTCGTGTCTCTCCTCTGTGTAAATCTGCCTTTCCAATAAAAATGTAAATGTAAAAAAAAAAAAATCACCTCAGGACAGCCACGCAGATGTGGTGGGCAGAGCCTGGCAGCAGCTGCCTTGACCTCCCAACCATGTCCCCCAACCCTGAGAACCCGAGGCCAGGGGGCCGGCCCGGGGACCCCAGGTCTGCACCCCAGGTCCGTCAGGGGGTCCTGGGGTGTAAGTGGGGTGACAGCAGGGACCCTGCAGGCCGGGTATGGGCCTGCCTGCCATCACAGCCCGGCATCCTACCTGCTGCTGTGGCCGGAGGAGGCGCGTGTCAGGGTTCAGCCCCGAACCCCCAAAGCCACCCCGTGACGTCAGCAAGGCCTGGGCCTCCGACCGAGACCACCCCTTGTTAACGCAGAGGGCTCCTTCCGCCCCCAACAGGAAGTCCTGCCTCCGCCTGGGTCCCACGAGCCAATCACAGAGCTCGGTGGAAGTTGCTTTGTCCCAGGAGCCAGAGGCCGGAAGTCAAGCCTGACCTGTGTTGTTAGTCTCCTAAGTTGAGCACTGGGTGGGTGGTTGGCATTGGCGTTTGCACCGCGGGAGGCTCCGCGTGGCTTGGACAGAGCTCGGGTGTGCAGAGGAGGCTCCGTACAATGTGCGGGTTTTGCTTCTCATGCTGTTCATTGTTGAACTGTAACTTAGACGCTTGGCACCCACACCTTCCAAAGGCACGAGGGTGCTGGGCAGATCTGAGGGTGGCCATGCATGCCAGGGATTCCGCAGGCCCACAGTGGCCGTCTCACCCCCTCCTCAGGGACATGAAAGGCGGCACCGCCTCACCTGGCCTCACTCAGACTTAGGGCTGTAGGCCTCCATGCCAACAGGGCGAGCCACACCTGCCCGGAAGGCAGTTTACTGTCCACCCCTTACCAGTCCACGTACCTGCAGAGACACATTTAGTGTCTAGAGCTATTGCTGCAGCTCTGACCCTCAGCCTGGAGCCAGACCTGTTGCCCAGGGCCTGACCTGTCTGGGGCCTGACCCGCTGCCCAGGGCCTGACCCACAGCCCGGGGCCTGACCCGCTGCCCGGGGCCTGACCCGCTGCCCGGGCAGAGCAGGGGTGTGTTGCCTCCTTCCCGCTAGCTGACACCTCTGGCCCTTCCTGTTTTGCCTGTGGGCTGTTCAGGTCGTGCACGGTCACTCACACCTTTTTCTGTGTGAGAACTGTCTCCCTCTGCCCTCCTGGACACAGATGGACGCCAGGGTTGGGGCTGGTGGGCACACACGCTCAGGTGTGCAGGTGGGTGAGTTACTGGCAAGGAGGGTGAGTCTACGAGGTGGCAGCTACGCCAGTCAGCTTTGGTCATGTCACTAGGCTGTCCTGGCTCCACGCTGCGCACTCTGACACCTAGAAACGGCCCGCGTTCCCACTCAGTTCTGTGTCCTCGCAGCTGTCACTCATTTTTATCTGCTTGTTGGGAGATCCGAGTCACCAGTTGCCATCCCCTGCCCCAGGCCGAGGAGGGAGAGAATTCCCTCTGGGAGGACCCTCAAACGCCACTGCTGGTCGGGCATGTCAGCAGAACTGGCACAGAATCTGACATCTGGACGTGTGCGGTGGCCGACACTGCCACCCCAGGGGCTTGCCTGCCCTCGGGTCTAGACGCTGGACGGGATCTGGAGACACATGGTGGCAGAGGAGAACACGAGATTCTGTATTCAGGGTTTTGGGACTCTGTGCTTCCATCACCCCGTTTACTCCGCTAGCACCTTCAACTCGGCAGGCCTCCCCTGTGCCCCGCCCCGCTGTCACCTCCCCCAGACCCCATCCCGAATCTGCCCACCTCGCTGCTGCCACTCAATCAGCTCCTCTGGATTGCTCAGGCCTGCAGCCCAAGGTTGAGGACCACTGTCAAGTGCACTGGTCTGACCCCATGTCTCCCTCCTCACCTGCAGTGCGCCTGCCCCACACCCCCACCACCCCTGCCCTGGGCATCAGTGATGTCCCAGGCTTCGCCTGTGCCCCACACTCCCCTGTGCCCTCCGCCTGCTGCGCCAGTCTTCAGCCACGAGCCATGTCATGGCCACCAGGATCAGGACAGCCATGCCGAGCCGGAGGAGGTTGTGGGTGGTGTGGTCCCAGACAGCCGGGCCTGGCATGGAAGCAGAGCAGCTGCCATAGCATGCCAGAACACCACAGGCTGTCATCTCTTCCCAGACCAGCCCTCCCGGCCCCACTCCTTTGGCGTCCGAGTCATTGGCTCACCTTGCGGGAGTTCCTGCCTCATGGTTCCAAGGCTGGGCTCCCCGGAGGCTGCTGGCAAGCAGGACAGGGGAGAAGGGAAAGTGAGATGCTATTGGCCACCCCGCCTGTAGGCGTGCCCAGGCACCTGCTGGCTCGTCAAGGTCTCCACCCCCGCCTGCCCTGGCCAATGGCTCCGTCCAGCTTCAGTGGCTGGCATGAAGCCCACAGGCTCAGTTTTTTTTTTTTTTTTTTCTGAGAGGGTGTTTATTTCCTGAGCAGGTGCACAGCAGCCCTATGTTGGGGACACCGGATTCCTTTCCCGAGAAATTCCCTCTACTGGGAAGTGGCTGTGGGGAGACTGGGGTGTGAAGACAAGCCATACACAACACCCCGGAGCCTTACAAAACTCAAAGCGGCAGGCATCCTCCACATGGGCACACACGTAGAAAATAAACAGACATGAAAGAGAGGCCACACCCCTGCTGGGTCCTGCCCTCCACCCTGACCAGGCAGAGGCCACGTGGTATGGAGATGCCGCAGCGAGGGGGCAGTGCCGACCCTTCCCCCAACCCCCATGGGTGGCCAGGCCTCAGGCTCTCCCCAGGGACGAAAAGGTGCTCACCTGGGGTGCTGGGGGGGCCCAAGGGTTCCAGGCTGCTGTCTCCCACATCTCCTGTGGATGGTGACCAAGAGGAAAATGTTGGACTTGGGGGTTTCTCCTGGTCCTTCCCTGGCCCTCGGGGGTGGATGTGTCCCTTCTCGACTCCCACACAGGGAGACCTGGAAGCCTGGGGTGGGGTCCTCACCTGTGACCAGGAGCGTCACGGGCTCACTGGGGAAGGACCACACGTGCTCGTTATAGGAGCCATAACACCTGTATTTCCCTCTGTGCGCTGTGGTCACAGGGCCCAGTGGGAACTCGGCCTGTGCAGTCCTGGGTCTGGCCTGAGTGTGGCCGGGCCGCCCCTCCCGGAGCAGGAGGAAGGTGCCCGTGCCTGTGGCCATTCGGCAGCTGAAGGTCACGTTCTCCCCGGAGGCCACCACAGGTGCCGGCAGAACCAAGAGGGAGGGTGTGTCATATAGTCCTGTGAGAGAGAAGGTTCTGGTAGCAGGTCAGGGAGACCTCAGCAGCCGCCTTGGGGTGTCCCACCTCCCCACATTCCCCACTCTTCCGCCATGTGCACAGCTCTCCCTCCCCAGAGGCTGCAGGCTTGTCTCCGGCAAACCACACGGGATGAACTCAGAATGCTGGTGCTGCCCGTATTGCTCTCCAAGCCCTGCGGACAGGTCCCCTCCGGCTTGGAGACGAGGGCCTCTGCTGCAGGCAGTGCTGTGGTGCCTCCCCGGCACTGCCCTCCCCGGGCCTGGGAGCCCCCTGCTGCAGCTCCTCACCTGTTCTAGGTGATTCCAGAGCCTGTCCTCTGCTTGGATGGGCGGCCTGGAGACCACCCTTGTTGAGCGTTATGCCAGGGACAGCCCTGCCCAGCTGGGGTGCACAGGGTCCCTACCTGTGACCATGAGGTCCAGGGGCTTGCTGGGTTCTGACCAGAGTGCCCCATAGCGGCAGGAGCAGCTGTACCGCCCAGCGGTGCGTGAGGTCACAGCCTCCAGGAGAAACTTGACTTTTCTCTTGCCCTGGGGCAGTTCTGCTTTCCCCAGGGCAGACATGCTCCCTTCGAGGGATAGCTGGCACTCCATGGCCCCGGGGGCACCCTGGCAAAAGATGGCCACTGGCTGTCCGTTAGGAATCAGGACCGCGGGCTCAGCCCAGATGATGGGCCGAGCCAGGTTCTCTGGAAAGGAATTGGAGGCTGGGGTTCCAGGAGCAACCTGTCCCACCCAGTGCCCCACCCTGGTCCCCACAGGGTTAGCCCAGGTTATACAGGAAGGACTCACGCTTCGGGGTGATGACCATCTGGCTCAGACACAGCTCTGGGAGGCAGCAACAGTAAGACACGTTGCTCACCCCCCGCCTGGGACCCCGACCCGCGCCGCCTTCCTCCAGGGCTGGCACTCACCGAGGCAGAGCAGAACGGGCAGCGTGGGAGACATGATGCAGATCTGGCCAGCGGCGGGGACACGGAGGGCTACAGCCAGTCAAGGGCACAGGATGTGGCAGGCTAGGCCTCACGTTGTCATGGGGATGTCATATCGGCGTTTTTACAAGAAGGGCCCCGACCACAGTGCCCATGACACATCTGGCCACACCCGCACACCAATCCTGTTGCTGAGCCAGCCCCTGTCCTCGGTGAAGCTATGCCCACCAGGGCAGGCAAGCGGCAGGCACCCCAGGACAGACTTGGGAGTCGAAGTGTGTGTTGGCCGGTGGTGCTCAGGTAAACGCCGTCCCACTTGTGCACTTGTGGCCTCTGTCGTTCCTCCTGTCTCCGTTCCTCCTGTCTCCGGGGCATCGCCAGGACAGGAACAGAGTCTGCACAGCCACTTTGTAGCCCCCGAGTGTGGCTGGTGCAAAAGTGTGGGGAGCGCTGGGGAGGGCGCTGAAGCAGACAAGCTTGGGGCATGATGGTGTGCAGGGCTGCGCATCCACACGGAGCAGGAGGCCAGGAGAGGAATGGGGGTGTCCGTGTTTCCCATGTAGACATCTCCTCGGGGAGTTCATCTAGACCCCGACATTCAAGCTTTCCTCCCCATGAAGAACATACAACACTGGCTCTGTCCTCTTTGTAACACTGACCAAAAAAGGCAGGTGCAGACCACAAGCAGGACTTTTCACAAACGGCGACAATGTTCCCAACCAATACCTAAAACTGCAGACAAGTCCTCCTGGTCCTCACCGGGGGGCTGCAAGGGAGGGCAGGGGGACATGCTGCATGCCCTCCAGTCCTCCCAAGAGTGCAGGGTGCAGCCACCATCCTGCCTCTGGCCAGGAGGACATGTGTGCCTCCATCTCTCATTCCTGTCTCACGTTTGGGCAGGTGCATCTCTGGGTAGGTCTGCTGGGCAGGGCTGGTGTCCAGGGACCCGGTTAGAAAAATGACCAGCCGTGAGGACATCTGTGCCCAAGCTAAGCTTGGAGGGCCTCGGAGGAGGGGTACCAGGTCAGGTGCCCAGCCTCTGGCTGTCGACCTCCAGGGCTGGGTGCTGTGGGCGTGATCTGCAGTGGACCTGAGTGCCACCATCATGGAGTAGCTCCTGACGATGACCAAAATGCCAGGATTCGAGTCCCACCCCTGGCACTGCTGAGGGCAGGGCCAGGGTCACCATGTAGTGTCTCCAAGTAGGGCTGGAACCAACTATGGCTTTCTTGTGAATTTCCAATCTTCTGTTTCTAAATTTTTAACATTTACTTGAGCAAAACAGATACAGTGTGCAGGTCTACTGCTCCCCGCGTATCTGCAACAGCTGGGGTGGGCCAGGCCAAAGGCAGCAGCAGGCAGGAACTCAACGCAGGCCTCCCGGTGTGTGGCCGGGACCCAGGCCTCCCCGTGTGTGGTGGGGACCCAGGCACCGAAGCCACCATTGCTCTTTCCGGGATCTGCATTAGCAGGAAGCGAGAGCCTGGGGCTGTGGCTGGGAACCCAGCTTGGCCCCCTGATGGCGGACGCGCGGGCGTCTCAGCCACCAAGCCATGCCCTTCCTCTTGTTCACGTGACACACACCCTGCAGCTCTCAACCTTAGGTTTCTGGGGCGGCCATCTCTCCTTGCACAGGTGTTCCTGCACAGAGGCGGCTTCGGTGTCCTTCCTGGGGAGGCCGGCCATTTTCATCGAGGGGAAACTGCTCTGTGGAGTCTTTGGTCCAACTCCCCCGGCCCCCGCCCACAGGGACACTTGGTACATGCCTCTTCTCTGGAAGGTGCTAAACCACGGCCCCAAGCCTGCAGGGGCAACATCCTGTCCAGGTTGGTCGAGCACTCAGCACTTCCGTTCTCAATGGAATCAAAGGCTTCAGGTTGAGGTTTCGTTTCTGGGACTGGCTGGTTCACTTATTTTTTTAAAGATTTTTTTTTTTTAATTATTTTTTTAATTGGAAAGGCGGATATACAGAGAGGAGAGACAGAGAGGAAGGTCTTCCGTCCGATGATTCACTCCCCAAGTGAGCGCAACGGCCGATGCTATGCCGATCTGAAGCCAGGAGCCTCTTCTGGGTCTCCCACGCGGGTGCAGGTTCCCAAAGCTTTGGGCCGTCCTTGACTACTTTCCCGGGCCACAGGCAGGGAGCTGGAAGGGAAGCGGGGCTGCCGGGACTAGAACCGGCACCCATATGGGATCCTGGGCGTGCAAGGCGAGGACCTTAACCACTTGCGCCACTGCGCCGGGCCCGGCTGGTTCACTTCTTTGTGCCCCTGGGGACGAGGAATCTATCCTTCCTGGATGTGTGTGTGAGCTTGTGGCTGGCCTACAGCGGCCCGTTGTTATGCTAGAAGCTGGACCCTTGGTGAGTGTACAGAGAAGTACCAGGTGCTTGGGCACAGTTCATGGAGCATGAAATTCAAATATACATTTTGGGAGCAAAAAGGTTTAGGAGCACTCTTGTAATGGTTATGGGAAATGTGCATCATGAGAAAGCTATAGCTTTCCCACATTCTGGGGTGCTGGCCTGCGGACACATTGTTGAAAAGAAAGTAAATACAGACACAGCAGAGCCTGGTGCCTGCAGTGCCAGCATCCCATAGGGGCACCTGTTTGAGGCTCAGCGGTTCCACTTCCCATCCAGCTCCTTGCCTGTGGCCTGGGAAAGCAGCACAAGACGGCCCAAAGCCTTGGGACCCTGCACCCGCGTGGGCGACCTGGAGGAAGCTCCTGGCTTCAGAATGGCTCAGCTCTGGTTGTTGTGGCCATTTGGGGCGTGAAGCAATGAAAGGAAGATCTCTCTGTGAATCTTTAAAATTAAAGAAGAAAAAGACCCACCTTTTAAAACGGGTAAATCTATAAACAATAGTGAATGTAAGCAGCGTGGTTTTCCCACCACCGCCCGTCTGATCTACGCATGATGTGAACATGACTCTGGGCTCCCGGTCCTCCTCTGGGCCGCCCAGGCCCGCTGGCCTCGGTCAGGACCCGGAGCCCCTCCTCCCTTTGGGACAGATCTGAGCTCCCCCAACCCAGCTTCCCCACTGACCCTTCCGAGAGCTTGCAGGGGGGCGAGGGGCAAAGCCGTTCACCTTCTAGTCCCTCCTCTGGGTGTGCCCTCTGGCGCCTGCTCCACCTGGACTTGCCTGGAGCTGAACTGATCTGAAGCCAGGGTCTAGGAGACTCTTCCTCCTCTACACGTGGGTGCAACGTCCCAAGGCTCTGGCTACCGTCCACTGACTTTCTAGGCCACAAGCAGAGGGCTGAATGGGAAGTGACTGCGCGAGGACACGAACCGGTGCTCACATGGCACGCCAGCACTGTAGGCTGAGTACTAGTCTCCTGTTTCAGCACCTGCTCTCCAGCCTCTTACACCGTGTCCCTGCGTTCTGCTCATTCCCGCCTCCTAGTTCCACATCCCCACGGACAGGAGTTTCTGAGTTAAGGTGGTGCCTGCTTCCATGCAATCACTTCTGTGTAACTCCCCTGGGCTGCTGATGGGTCTGGGATGCCACTATTGGGAATCTGGGCTGGCTCACCTGACACGCCCCTGCCTTTTCCAGGACCGCCTGCCTGTGCACCCGAGGCTGTGGTGGCATACCTGGGCCATATGGTGAGGCCCAACGGGGCACAGAGGAGTGGGCGCTCGCAGGACTCGGGGTGCAGTCTCCCAGCGATGGTGCTGTGACAGGGAAGCACTCTGCTCCTTGGTCCCCGAGGTTTTATCAAATAAGACACAGGATGATGACATACATGGAAATGCTCTCTCCTGGCCTCTCAGCGCAGCCCTAATCCATGGACAAGTGGACAGGAAGGGCTTGTCATCGGAGCCTGAGAGAGAAGAGATGGAAGCTGAGCAAGAGCGTTCTCCTTTTTAAGGACCGTTATTTTATAGCTCAAAGTTGTCTTTGTGTGTTTTTCATGTATAGCACGAGGTTTTCACACACAGTGGAATGGCTAAACAGAGACAATTAATGTATGTGCTAGCTTACGTTCTTTTTTTTTTTAATGCTGGGAACACTTGAAAATTTTTTGGCAGTTTTTTTTCTTTGTCTTCTTTTTCTTTTTAGCAGTTTCAACTACACTTACTCCAGTTGCCATCATGAACAGTGGCTCCCAAACTTCCTCCCATCTGGCTTTATAACTGTATCCTTTGATTTATAAACACACACACACACAGAGCCCCTGGTACTCACCATTCTTTTTCCTCTCTTTTTCTTCTTGTTCTTTTGTTAAATCAGAGGTATTTCTATTAACATCTTAGTGTTAACATCGAAATTATGAGAACATGGATTGTACATTTTAGAGTGGCTTCATGATGTCATCACTCTTCCAAGCCGTATCTGTGGTCTGCTCTGAGTGCTTTGTCAGAATGCCCTGTCACACACCGGAAGCTGCACATCACACTTCCTCTCATTTCGAATATGAAAGGAGCAAGAAAATGGAAACGGACTTATCTTGACAAGGCCAGGAATAAGCTCTCATCTTCCACTGCAGACTGCTGCTCTGGATTACAAATCAACTCACACTTGCAACTGCTCGTGTAATGAATATGCTACCAACTTTTCTTAGTGTTGCCAAAGATCCAATTATTTCAGGATTAACCCACTCTCCCAGGTCTCAGAGGCAACACTAACATGCCCCAAACAGGAACATGCTTATCATGTGTGCCACTCCGGAAGGACACAGCAGGAACACGCTTACCACGTATGAAACTCCGGAAGGACACAGCAGGAACACGCTTACCATGTATGAAACTCCAGAAGGACACAGCAGGAACACGCTTACCACGAGTGCCACTCTGGAAGGACACAGCACGAACATGCTTACCACGTATGAAACTCTGGAAGGACACAGCAGGAACATGGTTACCACGTATGAAACTCCGGAAGGACACAGCACGTTCTGCTGGAGCTTTTCCAAGGCAGGGATCTTTCCTTGAAGGAAAGCTGTGTGCTTAGCACAAAGAGGAGGAAAAGTGGCAGGCATGTCTTATCATGGTGGCTTCTCCGTGGTACCCTAGCGGCATCTTACCAGGTAGCTCCTCATCAAATGCCAAATGCAAGACTTAAATCAGAAGTGACGACGCTCGTGTCTCCAAACATGACTTTTTTTTTCTTTTGCTCCAACTTATGTTTGACAAATAGACATATTTTTAAAAAATCAGTTATATGCCTACATTTCAGGACTGAAATTCTTAATGTCTCAGTATAACTGGATATCCTCATCCCACTTGCAAACAGGCCCGATTCCACGGGGC